CACCTGATTTAGGATATGTGATTATGAATACATCATCGTCTCGGATTTCAAAACTGTCCAGTGAATCTATAGTTTCAGGTGAGACCAGGTCTGTTACGAAATAGAATCCTTTGTATTTATACAGGAATTTATCTGGTGTCTCCATTACTTGACCTGCTGGTATAATGATAGAGCAATTGACAAACATTCCTACATTGATCGTCAATATTGTATTAATACAATTCTTTACAAATCATGCTTCCGGGCAACATAAAAAACAACAACATATATCATTAATCTAATTAATCAGTTACTTAGCTTCATCATCTCTATTTTCACCCATGAAAGTTCCCATTGCAACGAGTAAATTTGCTGTTGTTCTTAGCATCTAATATTTCTCTTTAGAACAGAAAGTTTTAATTATAATATTAAGAACATACTACTTGCAAGTCTTGTCTTGTCTTGTCTTGTCTTACCTTATGTAGTCTCTGTCAGTTGGTCACATCAGGTCTCTATGCCAATATATTTATAGTGCTTTCTCAATCATTTGGATTCCTGTACAGTGTTCAAATATTTAAGGAAGGCTAATCTTTGGTCAATCACTGTATCAGCAGTGCTTCTACATTTCAAAAAAGAGTTAAAGGAGAAGTGGAAGATGACTGAGTAATAACCTAATTAACAAGAAAGACAGAGAAAGAGATAATCTTCTCTAACTTATTAAAAAGCATTCTTTGAAAGCCTTGGTGGAGCAAAACCATGATAGGGATTTAAAGATCTATTTCTAAGCGGCCCATCTGCAGACAACCATGGAATACAGACAATTGTTAAAAAGCATAAATGAAATGTTGTGTGTCTGGATGTGGGAAATGCGAAAACAGTGCTTGATGGGATAACATATGGAAGAAGCTGTGGAAGAAAACAAACCCATATAAGAGAACTGTTGCTGCCAAAAATGAACATGAAAGAAGGTTTTTGAATGATATAGAGAAACAGACAGTTGGATATTGTCAGCCCTTCGAGGTAGTCCAGACAAGAAGCACCAACCATGAATACTAACACTAGCTTTATGGTAAGATTTCGGTAACAGAATCTTACAAGTCTGAAACCATCCCTCCCTCCACCTTACTTTTACTCTCACCAAAACTAGGAAGTTCCCTTCTAGGACGCTTTCTACAGCCCCACCCCTCCTTCAGACTCAGATTTTTTTTATCAGACTGTTGTCTTGACTGTAGCTCTGCCTCCCTCTCCCAAGGTCATTCCTACCTAACCGTACACAAATAATGCAATCGAAAATCAGTTTATGGTTTAAATAAGTTTAAGAGTTCTCACTAAAATACGTAAGAGGAGTTTCGCTCGCTCAAAAAAGTGACACAGTAGTATATTGAGTTGACAGTATGGCCAGATGCTATAGCAACATCTTAAACTCCAAATTAGTTATCGAAACCAATATTTTTAGATTATTTTAAACCTGCATTAATGTTCTACAATTAATTAATGAGTGTTGATTAAACAGAGATTAGTTATCTGCAAGAACTTTGGAATGAAGAATTGAAATTCCTACTGTGCCTGAGGCCATGGAGTAAGTTGGAGGACGGAAGCCTCCTCTCAAAAGCCTTCCGCGTCTTTTCGCCCTGGCCTCACCTTCTGCTTTGACTTAGCAGCTTGGTGTCCCTCACCACCACCTTCTATCTTCCAACACGTGCCTTGCCTCTCCTCCTCCTAACCCAGGGTGTTGGGCAGGGGCTCTTACAATCCTGCTGCTTTCCTGGATGAAAAGATCAAAAAGGAAAAAGTGAAATAACTTCTATAGCACCACCTTCTGGCTGTATAATGACAAGAGGAAGCAAACTTTCTTCTCCTCCACCTCATCGTGGGAGAAAGCAATCTCACAAGGAATAATAAAGTAAAACTTCATTTTAAAGAAAGAAAGAAAGGAAAAAAAGTAAAAATCATTATTTAACTTCAAATATTCAGATGCAAAACATTCAGTGGTGAAGGAAATAAATGCAGCTTGGTTTTTAAAAAGCATTTTCAGCAGCTTGATTAATTAATGGATGAGATTTATCCTTGCCTCAATACAAGAGCACTCAAGGTTGTTTAGAGATGTTAATACCAATTAAATAATAAAGTAAAATGAATAAAAATAAAACATATTAAATAAAACAATAATAAATAAGAACAAGTTACCAGACCATTAAAACTGACGTTGGTATTGATGACGCATAATGGTATGTGGGAAAGACCTGGAGAGAATGGACAAAGAGATTGTGCCAAGGGATAAAAATGCATTTCTGAATTCCATACCAAGGATTTGGAATGTATCATCATGAAGAATTATGGATTTACCAAGTAGGGGATGCAGTAAAAAATTCCCCCCCCCGCTACATTGTTACTGTTATTGACATTGTTATTGTCATTCTTGTGAGGATGTGAAATTGGGATTAGTGTCTGTTCTTGGGAAGAGTAACTGCAGCTGGGCAGAAACAGTTCTCACCCCATTTCCCTCATTTCCCTAACTCAAACTTTACTCACAAGCATCCAGGCCAGCTTTCCAGCTGCCACTGATAATGAGCCACACCCTGGCATTTTCAAGGACATGCCAAAGTCCACAAGCAGCCTGAACCTCACCCAGGCTTTTAGCTTAGAAAAGCAAAAATTAAGACAGGGTGGAGGAGGAGGTATGTTTAGAGGGTGTGTGTATAAGAGAAAACGTGACAAGTAAACAGCCTACAGACGGGGAAGTGGAGGTGACTTCTATTACTACAGCTATTACATGCAGGCAAGAGGACTAGTATCCAACTACCAAGTCCACAGGTTGTGGTGGGCAGCTTATCTTGGTGGGAGTCCTGCCAGGAGCTTGGAGTTCTGCTGGGAGCTCAGTAGCAACCAGAAGAGGAACAAGCACGCTGAAGCAGCACCTTATCTCAACTAGTGCAAGAAGATTTGGAAAAGGCTTAAAGGTTGTATGCCACTCTACAGACTTTACAAACGTTATATATTTATACAGATTTTATGCATTTTATAGACTTTTGCTCAAACTAAGTATTAAAGGACTGGGCATTAAAGACATTTTTACATGGCAACATCACCTTGCAAGTCCTAGATGGGTGGAGAGCAATAGTCTGGTGTTGGGGAAAGGTGTGTGCTGCAATAAAGCATTTTATACAGATTTGCTATGCTGTGATATGTCCAGTCCCTGGATAACAAAGGACTCTTACAAGTCTGTAAGTATAATGAAAAGGTTGAGCAGAATTATTTTGTGTGGTCAGATATTACCAGTGCATTTAAAAATGGAGTTGAGTGACTTTTCAATATTTAACATATGCTGCTACTATCTTTTTCTGATTTTTTTTGTGATTTTTTTTTTATTTTATTGTCCCATTCTCCTCTTTTTTTCTTTATATATTAAGGCAATAATGTACACATTTTTAGAAGGAAGTATTAGTTTTATACAGGCATTTATATATGTATAGGAAATGAAAGCCATAGGTTTTTGAGGGGTGTAGTGTTTCTTATTACAGGAAAGTATATGTTTCAGGCTATGCAAGGAATAATTTCATAGTACAGTGCCACAGTCCTTGATTTAACTGCATGATCTTGATTTGTGTAGACATTGATGACAGCCTGGATATCACCAAGTTCTGTAATGGTTTTTTGCAGATACAGCCAAGTTCTATAGACCAGGTTAATAATTGTACAGCTTTAGGAATGTTGTAAATCCTAATTTTATGCAGGAGTTCAAAGTTAGTCTATTGCTCATTTAATCAAATAGATGCTGGCAAATATTTAGCTCTCATTGCAAACTTCATCAGTTTGGATAAAATGGTTGCACAAACATTCTTCCTACCATGGTCAATAAGTGATCAGAAGGTCATGACAAATCACTTCCATATCATTGCCAGCTTCATGGATATATCCACAGAGTGACTTGAGGGAATCTTCACCATTTTCAGTATCGGAGGTTTTATCAATAGCTCTCATACTATTGAGCCGATATCTTACTTTGCTCTTCCAAAAACATTTTACAGCATTACCCTTTGGAAGAGCAAATGAGAACATCCCTGGACCAGAAAAGACTTGAGAATTACTGTCCTATTGCACATACACCCTTCTTGAGCAAGATACTTGAGAAAGTTGTAGTAGATCAGCTTCATGGATCTTGTCAAGATCAAGGAACTATGGATTAATTCACAGATCTAGGAACTAAGTAGATTTTGGGCTCTGGATAGAACTGCCTCCCCCCAAAGGAGAAGATGGAATTTCTGGTACTCAGGCGCCAAGTGGCATTAGTGGCCTGGACTTTTAGCTGGACCTGGTCTGGTAGCTTTGACTCTTCTGAAGAGGGATGACAAGGCCATAGCATTCCATGTTCTGACAACCTCTCATTAGAAGCACAGCACTGTTCTTTGCATGAGTCTGCCCTTAAGGATGACTCAGAAATTATAGCAAATGCAGAATCTGGCAGCAAAATTATCATCCAAGAGATCCTTGAGAGATCACATAAAATGCATCTTAAAGGAACTTAAGTCAGACCTCAAGGTTGGATAATAACATTTGAGACCCTTAATGTTTAGGCTCCTATTATTTGAGTATATACCTTTCCCAATAAGTACCTACCCAAACATAAAATTTGCTCAGGGAAGGGTCAGTGACCCAAGGCTGGGAGAAGTGTCATGTAAGGGTGTGGGAAATGGCCTTCTCTGTTGTGGCATCTTGGCCTGGAATGGCCCCCTTCTTAGGCAGCCAAGCTGATTTCAACTTTGCCTGCCATTTAATTCCTGGTAACTTAGTGTCCATAGTCTGACCATGCATTTTATACCTTAAAATTGTTCTTAAATCTTACTCAGATTTATGTATGTGCTTATAACTTTAGCTGCAGGAGCCTGATCAGTGAAAGTTATGGGTGCCTGTCACTTGGCACATGTGACACCTCTGCTCCATAAGCTGCACTGGTTGCCAGCATGCTTCTGGTTTCAGTTCAAGGTGCCAGTAGTTACCTTTAAAACCATCCATGGCTTGGGCCCTAGGTTACTTGCAAGACCATCTCTCCTGATTGTATCTTCCCATCCTGTTAGATCTGGCAAGAGAGCCATTCTCTGGGTCCTGCCTGTTAGGGAGTGTTATGTGGCAGGACCCAGGATGAGAGCCTTTTCTGTCATAACACCCACCCTCAGAAACATCACTCCCAGATATCAGACTTGCCCCAACCTTGCTAGCCTTTCGTAGTCTTGAAATCAAGCCTGGGCCCTGGATATATGGTTGAGCCCATATCATGGCTGTGTTAATTGTTGCTGGTTGGGTTTTTTGGCTGCTGTATATGTTATTTTTAATTTTGTTATACTGTTTTAAACTTGTTTTAAGTACTGCTAGCTGCCCAGAGTCATCTAGTTGAGATGGGTGGCATATAAAACAAATAATGAGTAATTAAGTAAGTAAAAACCCTTTCTCCCTGCACTGTAAGACCAATGATAATCCCCATTTGAAAATCCATTTTGACAATGTCTCTAGGCAGAGGATGGAAACAACACTGTTGTCCTCTCCTTAAGTCCTGACATTTTATACATACACACTCCTGCACACACTGACACACAGACCAGTATATGAAAGTTGTAAAAGTATGAGATAAATAGCCTCTATTTCAATTAAAATATAGAAATTGATGGTATTATTTTGGCCACTGTTTACCAGACACTGTTGGGGACTGGAAGAACATACTGACTGTACATCACAGAACAATAGGTTTGATTGTGAGGTAACGCTATCTATTATAGGGTTCTCAGAGCATGAGAAAATTAATAATGATTTGCAAAACATTACTAGCTCAGAACATCCACACATTCTTCCATTATTAGGAAAGTGTTTAGCTGCTTCCCCTGTCCTTCAAAGAGTTCTTAGCAAGAGAATTAAGAAGTCCTCACCCTAGCAAACAGGGAGATAAACAAATTGTTAAAGTGAAAGTATCTAGTTATTAAGATTTCTGTAACGTAATCCCTTTTTTTCAACAAATCTGATTAAAGAAGGCTTTGCAAGAATCTTGTTTCTGTTGCCAAGAGTCTGATGTTGTCTTTGTCTAGGGTCCAATCTAGATGAAGATGTCCCCCTTTTGAAAACCATTAATAAAATGTAGCTGAGGTCCACAAAAAACATACATCCTTCAGTGTTCAACCATATAACTATACAACTTCCTTTCTTGGCTCTTTTTTTTTTTTTTTAAAGCAAAGAATTTTTGTAGACAGGAGAGGGAAGAGGAGGAAGATAAAGTAGATGCAATGCATTTTTCCCCCTTTATACTTTATCTGAGTTTGCAGAAAAATTGTCTTCCAAGAGTTGCTTGTTGTGTATCTTGTCTACTATATTATATGCAGAACCTTATAATGTATTGCCTTGTTTGTCCTTTGTATGCAATGAATAGCTGTTGTAGATTCAACAGACTGATCTTTGTATTGCTGTGTCAAATTCTCCTCCCTTTATCAAAAATGGGGGAGGGGGAAGTGAGATAAGCCCAGTTGGTGTCCTCCAGTTCATTCAATGGGGTCTATATTTAGCACAGCATATGAATGAATAGGATGAGTTCAGTTAAGATTATCCAGAAGCAGAAGCTTATACTCCATAAAGATGTTAAATTTATTAAGGGTATGTCAGCTTTGCAAGACCCCTAGCATGATCACGGATCATTAGTGCTTGCTATTTTCATTTAGAATGGGAGATCAGATACAATAGATCAAAATTCCTAGATTAAATGCCTTGGGTCTTTTGTGGTAAAGAAAAACTAGACTATTTTGTGAGAGAATAAAGACAGAAAAAACATGGCAGTGCTTAACTTCTGCACAATACTCAGACTGTGGTTCTTTCTGGAATCAAAATGCTGCTTTTGGGCAAATTAGATGTGAGATTTATTATCTGCATGATCTTAATATGCAGATATTTACATTGAAAAAACCTAAATAATAACTTCAGGATAGTTAAGCAATGGCATGCACACACATTGAAACTCCTGGTAAGAACTACGCATCATCTACTATTTGTCTCCTTTCTTCCTCCAATTTGTATATGGTTGAAAGCAAAGTGTGCTTTTATTGAGCAGCAAGCCCATGTCTTACTTTCTTCATAAGTAAAGAAAATAACACTGAAGTCATCAGCTTTCTTTAATGTCTAGCGAAAAGTTATCCAGCAGTGATAGGAGAGAGAAATTAGCCTAGCGTAAGATTTTCAGTAGCTATAAACTGCAGCTAATGTACTAAAGCTGCAAACTGCAAATTTCCATTCTTAATTTTGGCTCTACTATAAGACACTAAGCCTAAGATTCCCCACCATGTACTATCTGCCAGAATCAGCAAAATACATATCCCAACACAATTTACTTGAAATCCTGTATCTTCCTTCTAGTAGCCTAAAACTTCTTAGATCGGACTGAACATTGTCATCGTGGGCTCAGGTTCGGAGTCAGAGAAGGAGACTGATGGGCAGTTAGCTTTGGACAAGGAGCCATCAGCTCCAGAGGCACTGGACAGATGGCCGCAGGCAGGGGAGGTGCACTGACCAATAATCAGCAGATACAGCTATCCCCGCTCTAAGAAGACGAAGGAAAAGAATGACTGCACCCTCCCAATGCAAGAGCTCGGCAGGCTGCAAAAAGAGCAGAGCAAAGGCGCTCTGCGAGATTACTCACAAGGAAGGAGTCTCACCCTGCTAAATGAGCTACACCGGGGCTGCTTCTATTAAATGGAGCAGCAACTTCAACTTCTCTGTTGATGACAGCCGTCTGTTAACCCCTGCTCCATGCACCTTGATTTTGGACCTGGGAACCTCAAGACCTCGACTCTAGACCCAGACTGGCTGATAAACCTTGTACCCAGTTTTGCTAAGTATTGGGACTTATTGCTTTACTACGTGTCTGTGTGCCTGTGTGTTTTTGCACTTGTATTTACTTTACCAAGCCATTTCTAGTAAAGCAGTGTTG